CTACTTTCTTGTCCCACTTGAAATTCCTCGCGCCTTTCTCCTGGTCTCACGGTTGCTTGACCTTGTTGGCGCCTCTGCAGCGATAACGGCAGCACCTGGCTTGGCAGCTTCCTCCCCCCTTCTCCTAACGATGATGGCAGGAGCGAGCAAGTGGGCCTCCAATTAACAATTTAAACATTTAACTGTCAAATATGCATTGCTAGTCTAAATTAAATGAAGCTATGATTTCTGGCTTGCGTAGATCCTGACAGCACCAAGGCATCTGGGGGACCCCGAGTTGGGGAAGTCGCTCTGTTGGGGAGCTCAGTGCTGCCCCCTTTGATGGGAGAGACTTTCCAGCGCTCCTTACAAGATGACACAAGAACGATTCCTTTGGTCCTGCTCTAACATGTCCTTGGTGTAGTGGGGAGCGCCCAGAGCCCGGTTACGTTTTACCAGGTTATCAATCATCTGAATTAGTTCATCAATCTGAACCTCCTGTTCTCTCCCCCGGGCCTTGTTATCGAAAGCCAGGAACCGGTTCCCACACTGGGCAATCTGGTCCAGAAGCACTTCATCTGCATTATGCAGGAACTGCTCAAGAGACCCTCCTGGCAGGTCACTTTTTCGGGTGAATAGCATGATCAGGTAGGCCTTTGCTTTCAAACTGAAGATCCCTCTGATGATCTCGGCCACTTGCTGCTCCTCCCGGCTGAAAGCACCTGGCCGAAGGACCTGTATAATGACGTGGGGACCCGGGTGGGTGAAGCTCACGCACTTTTTCACCTCCTCAGCAATTTCTGTTGGTGGCAGGGTGGTGTCAAAAAAACCAGGAGTATCCACCACCACGATTTTCCTGCCTCTCCGTATCACCTCTCCCTTTTCGCACATTTGTGTGGTTGACCTGGAGCTCATCTTGGAAACAAAATTTCCGCTCCTCAGGATTGAGTTTCCAGTTGTGCTTTTCCCAACCCCCGTTTTACCAACAAGCACGATCCTCAGCTCCTTGGCTGGCAACCTCACTGAAGAGGGTGGGTCGGTCTGCAGCAGATAGTAAAGAGCCAGAAGGAAGGCCAGGAGGCAGCCACTGATCACCCAGAGGCTCATAGCGACCCGTCACGGACAAATCACACAACGGTCGTCAAGCTCCTGGATAAAAACAGAGTGAAATAGGGAACT